CCCCTTGTCCTATCGCAACAGGCCCTGCTAAGAAGTCTGTCCCCATCTTTTTTATAAGCCCCCTTTAAGTACTGATAGGCTGCAATCAGGTCTTCCCAAAGCCTCTTCTCCAGGCTGAACAACCCCAACTCTCTCAGCCTTTCTTCACAGGAGAGGTGTTCCATCCTTCTGATGATTTTTGTGGCCCTCCTCTGGACCCGCTCCAACAGGTCCATGTCTTCGCTGTGGAGAGACAAGTCGGGGGGCAGGCATGGCTTTTGGCCTGTGCCCCTTAGTCTGAGGCAGGAGGAAAGCCCCCAGCTTGCCTACACCACATGTATATTAGCTATATTTATATCCGTATGTATGCTTCTGCCAAACACCAGGTTGAGCTTTCGATCTTTGACACCAGAGCTGTTCCTTCGTGCACATCCTGGTAGGGGTTGTCACAGCTGCCATGGCAAAACCCCCCTCCGAGCTGAGCGCCGGAGGCTGACCTGCTCCCAGAGAGGCTCTGAGGTGCGAGAGGAGGAGGAAGAGGAGGATGTACCAGCTGGGGGGAACGGGGACGCGGACTGGGTAGGATTCCCTGGGTCAGTGAGTCTCATCCTTTGCAATCTGGATTGCAACCTTGCAGCCGCAACACGTAATCCTTTTCGCGGGCTAATCACGCACCACTGTATTTAGCTTTGTGGGCAGCCAGTGCAATGATAGTCACACGAGAATTAGCTCGGACTTGTTGGGACTTGTCTCCTTGGGCTCCTAAAGTCAAAAAAGCTTCTGTGAAACTGCAAGATGGAAACTATTCTGCATCTGCCTTTCCCTCTTTGGAGAACAATTATTTTCAGCAAGGCAGCTGAAATTCTGAGCAAAACCAAAGGTGGGGATACGGAGTAGAGGAATGCTGGAATTAGCAGTAGTATTCGCTGCATGTAAAGTCATTAAGGCCTAAAAGGAGGTGTGATTTTCTAGGCGCAAAAAATACCACATACTCAATGCAGGAAATACGTTTGCAAAAGTTAGGTAGAAAAAAATTAAATGGATGCCAGATGTACAAGTCTCTTTGGTGTTCAGGACTCTGGATTGGTTATTTAAGAACAGATTCTGCCTCTTTGGCAGTCAGGCAGCCCGTGCAGTCCAATATAGTCTATCAACAAAGTAGCTGGGTACTGATTCTCAGTTTAAAATGGAGTCTGGGTTTTAAGCTTACTCCAGCACATTTAGAAATCCCACATGGAAGTACCTGAAACAGCGATGCTGATTGCATAAGCTTTTCCTTCAAAACACAGGCTCTGTAGCATAACTCATGAGGATCGGTGTGTTGCTTTAGGTTAAACTCAAAGACAACATATGCAGACTCTCGGGAATTGCGTAGCGGCATTTGATTTTATTGGGTTTTTATTTATGGGCTCATTTGAAACAGTGTGTGTCAGAAGCAGGTTCCAAAATGCAAACTGTTCTGCTTCCAGAGAGACAGACTGCTAACTTAGAGATTCGCATTTAATTTCCCCTTGTACTCTGAAAGCCTTCTACATCCTGTAGGTTCTCTCCAAAATAAATACGCAAGTTTTCCTGAACACCCAACAAATAAAGAAGAAACTATTTACCCTTTAGGGAGCTGTATTTCCTCAAGCGGTTTTTAACAAAACAATTACCTCTCCCCCCATAAATTAGCTTCCTGCACTCCTGATAGCGAGCTGTTTGCGTCCTTTTTCTTTTCTCTTCCTCAGCCGAGGGTTCGAACGCCGCTTTTCACTCTACCAATTTGCTGCTCTCGACAAGCCATCAGACGACAGCACAGGAAAGAGGCCGTTTCATTTTCTAGTAGCAGATGGTGCATTAAGTCTTGGCCTCCTAGAACGTCTTACAGATCCAAGGGCCACCCGACGACTGCAATTTAATGCAAAGGCTCCTGTATTGACCACTGTTTTGTTCTTGCTGGGTTAAGCTTCATTTCCTACCTGGAGGTGTAGTTTCCCGTCCCACGTTGCCAGTGGTGAAGAGAGAGCTCTCAGAGCTTGCCTCGGGAGCCGAGCTTCAGTCCACCTTCCCCAGCCGGCTCTCAGTCCCTGCTGGAAGCGCTGCTGGAAAGTGTACATAAATAATAGCAGCACCGGGACTGTATTACTATTGCCATTTCACGATTAGAAAAATGGAGGTAAATGAGCCGTGCAAAGCGTACAGTGCAAGACATGGCCCAACACTGAACACTGCCAGGCGTGTACTCTTGAACACACACCGATTCCCACTCTGTATTTTCCACCCTAGACCACGTTGCTTTTCTGGTCAAGCGTGTTAAGGAATGTGCTTTTATGCAGCATCTTTCGTCTGGATGGGTCCCAGCCTTAAAAGGAATGTTAAGTGGTTTTACATAAGGTATTACGTAGGATTAGAGAATGTGATCTGTTTGCATTGTAGTCTTAAGAGGAAGAACAGCCAAGGTTATTTTAATGAGACATTGAGTTTCATCTGGTGACAGTAGATGCACAACTGTAGAAATTTCTAACTGAACAATATAATAAAGGTGGTTTTAGAAGCAGCAGAGCGTGCCATGCGTGTGAACGCATGTTCATTGTCAAATAAGAAACTCTGAGCTATGAAACAGCGGCATGAAGAAAAAATACTTCAGGCCTAGTTTTTATCAGACTGCTAAAATGTCTTTAATGTCACGTAGTCTAACAATCTCACACGGAAGGTATTCAAAACTATCCTGTGGGATTGCTTCGTGTTTGTGGTGTGTTTGAATAATAAAATAGATCGGCTGCACGGCGATGCCGAGGCTGAAGACTCATGAATCAACTCGAGGGCCTGCAGCTTTTCCCGCTCATTGGTTCCTGCAATACACCGTATTTTACATCAAACGTTATTGTTGAAGAGACAGAGTACGCTTTCAAGAAATGCTGCAGCATCTTCCCTGTGATTCGAGATGCAGCTTTTTTTTCTAAGTTTGTGGTTTGGGTTCTTCAGGCTGGTTTTCCTCCCTGATGAAACACACACTGTTGCTACACCCCGTCTCGCCGCGGCCACGAGCGAGGGGCCTGCAGAGGAGCTATTTCCAGGCTCTCTGCGGGCGGCTTCCCGCCACTGAGTCCAATTCTGCCTGCGACAGGCAGGATGCTGAACCTACTAAAGCTTCTCGGCGTCACCTCGGCAGCAATCAGTGCTGTCAGTGCCGCTTTACCAGCCTGCTGAGCTCTGCTAGTGGGACCCAGAGTAAGAGGGTTCGCAGGGGCCATAACGGTCTCTCGCTGCTGGAATGGCCCTTTGGGGCAGCTGGGATGGCAGCTGCTGTGAGCACATGATGACAAGTACAAAAGATGCCTGGAAAAAAAGAAAGAACTTGGGTAAGGGGGCTCTGAAGGGAACATGCAATTTCTGTCGCAAGAGCAGAAAGAGGGAGAGGTCTTGGCAAGGCGGATGCGAGGTACACAGCCAAGGGAGTAGCTTCGGGCAAGAGAAGAAGGAGGAGATGGCATCCAGGCCTGTTAGATGCTTCTTATGTCCAGCGTGGGAATGTACTTGCTCAAGAAAGCACCAGTCTCCCATAGACTGAGGATCTCTCCAGGGGTTGTTGCCGAAATGCTCTGGGAAGAGAGAAAAGTCACTAAGGGAGAGCAAAGCCTTTTCAGGCTGTCAGGAGACTTGTGTCCCTTGCAGGAGCAGGAGAATTAAATAAGCTATAGCTCAGACCCTCACACCAGCTTTAACTGAGGTCCTTGTGCAAGGATTTGTTTTTCACAGAAGGAACA